ACTTTATTTTCTTTTGCAAAACTTTATTTTCTTTTGCAAAACTTTTTTTTTCGTTTGCAAAACTTTATTTTCGTTTGCAACACTTTATTTTCTTTTGCAAAACTTTATTTTCTTTTGCAAAACTTTTTTTTTCGTTTGCAAAACTTTATTTTCGTTTGCAACACTTTATTTTCTTTTGCAAAACTTTATTTTCTTTTGCAAAACTTTATTATTTTGCATATATATGTGGCATTATTTTGACTCCATAGTCTTCCATTTCGTAGGTATTGTTTCAAAAATTCTTAAAATTATTTGCCTGGGCTTGACCAAATATTTTACATCTCACTATCATGATTAGGCTACACAAAAAGTTATTTTGAATACCTACATTTTATGATATCCATATGGCACCAAATATTATAAATTACCCATATATTAAAGGGAGGTTTCTTAATGAAGTTAGCATCTGCTGTTTGACTCTAACAAGCTTAAAATCACATTGTTAAGCAGCAGTTTGACTAAAACTATTAATATGGTCCCTAAAACTGTTGACATAGTGTAAATCTACTGCCATGCATTAGGTTGTCATTCTGAGGAATCTATAAACATTCGCTCAACCTCTCATTAATTTGTAATATTATGTCAGTGTGATAAATCAATCTCATTCCACCAGTTATAGCCCCATACTTTGCATGCATCCAAATTACACCCATGTTTAATGTATTATTAAATAGAGCCATCAAGTGCAGTTCAGATACATTACTTTGTCAAATGAGCATGGAGGGCTTGTCCATTCATAATCAAATGAGAGAGGTAGTGTAGGTGTCTGTTTTTATAGTGGAATCATTTTAAACTCTTCATCATTTTTTTTCATTTCCAGGAACGATTGTAGCAAGCAACTGTGGATAAATTGCTATAATATATTATCAGGATGTTTAATGTAATGAATGCAAAGTTTCCTGGCAGTGTGAACCATATTTTAAAGGAATGGTTCTAAGATGTAGGTGAATTTGTTTGATCTGTGCATTTTTCTCCCCCAATTCAGACAAGATTTTTTACTAGATTAAACGCACAATATGTAATTTTTGCCGCTAGAGGGCACGTATTCAAAATAAACAAATAGACAAAGGCGTAGTTTGATGACTGAGTGTGGAATCATGGGAGTTGTTGTCTTCATCCCCACAGCCGATGCAATCCGATGGGACTCGGGCAGAAATCATGTTCATGGATGAGCTAATGATTTATTAACGTAGTAGAATGAAGCAGGGTGAGGCTGAAATCGTCGAAGTGAAATGAGGCCGCTGAACGAGCGCGACACACGGCTCGAAAGCAGTGGAGCTTTTATTATGCCACAGTCGACCGCTTCCGCTCCTTCCGGTCGTGCGTATGTGGGGGAAAAAAGCAGCGCTGTTTTATCATACTAGATACATTCGAACGTTCTGTTATAAAGCTACTCTGTGCGGTCGTCACCGGTCTATTAAAACGCATAACATATTAAAGCGTCTTTGGTGTTTCCATGTTTTCTACAAAACAAAACCGGAAATCGATGCAAGTACACAAGTCAGCAAAATATATAACACTGTTCTAGTGGTTTTTGGATATTTTAATTACAAAATCTTACATATTGTGCCTTTAAGCAATATACTGGAAGCAACAGTTTGAAGTTAAAAATGTCTTAATAATAGGATTATTTTTTTTCACAAGATCTTCACAATATGTTAATTAATGACTGAAGTCATCTTTTTTTTATCAACTCTTTGAACTCTCATTCTGACGGCACCCATTCACTGCTGACGATCAATTGGTGAGCAAGTGATGTAATGCTAAATTACTCCAGATTCCTTCAAATGTTATTACTGTTTATGTTTTACATAATCATGTTTGAATATTATTTGTGTTGATCATATGTGTTATTTCAGAAAGAATATTTTAAAATCACACATATACAATATACCAAATATGCCAGTTTCATAGAATAAAACAAACTGGCATTTGCAAACAAAAGATCCTAGAGCTTTTCTGGAATGTGTATATTGCATTAAAGCTTATGCAATCTTTCTTTAGCTAAATATGAAATCAAATATTTTACTGCAATGAGATTCAGGCATTTTAAGTGTGCCTTCAGTGTCCTCTGCGGGACACTGTAACTTCATGCTTCCTAATCACTGAATGGGCTAATGAATAAAATTAATTAATTTTCAAAAAATATTCACAGAACACAGTGAATAATATGTGTAGAGTTCCAGTAGATCTGACATAGTCTGTATGTCATGTTTCCAACAAAGCAAAATCAGTGAATAATGAAACCTCAGTAGAATTTCTTCAGATCGGACAATGCCTTGCAGTAAATGTAATGAGGAAGAATGGCCTATTCCTTTATGGAAGGGAAGTGAATTCATAATTTATTATTACTTGAATAGATGAAGAGGAAACTAGGCAGAAACAACTGCTACATGTGGACATTCATGTGCTTATGCACGGAGGTGCTTTCACTGCAGTGATAAACATTCACCAGGTCTTTAAAGTAGTCATCATCTTATTGAGTGTATTGCAAAGTCATTTTTCAACTTAACCACTAGTAAAACATATCCCTTTCTCCAAATTAAGTAATACTGCAGCAAACTGCAAAATGAATCTTGCAGAAATACAACTAAAAATAGACAGAAAAAAATCCTTGCATGTACTACAGAGCATAGTTTTCATAAAAAGAGTTGATGCAGAAAGTAGTTGGAGCTTAATATTTTGCATTTAGGTAACACATTTGTTTTTCAGTAATGCTAATTGCTATTGCTAATTATTTAGCATGTGTGGGTCACACTTTGCCTGGACCAAATCCAATCTGAAAACTTGAAATCACCACAGCTAAATATCAAAACAGCTAAATGTTTGGAGGAAAAAACGGGTGTAGAAACAATTTTCACTCAGAAATTGGTAGTAAATTTCACAATTACAGAACTAAAAAAAATAAATGAAAGTAGGAAAACTAGAAATAAAGTAGAAATAAACAAATGTTATACTGAACACTGTTTATATTAAAGGAATAGTTCACATCCAAAATGTAGATGAGTTTGTTTTTCAGTGGAACAGATTTGAAGAAATGTAGCAATACATCACTTGCTCACCAGAGGATGCTCTGCAGTGAATGGGTGCCATCAGAATGAGAGACCAAACAGCTGATAAAAACATCACAATAATCAAGTAATCCACAGACTCAAGTCCATCAATTAATGTCTTGTGAAGCAAAAAGCTGCTTGTTTGTAGGAAAGAAATCTATAATTAAGACATTTTAACTTGTATCCGTTGCTTTCGGCTTTTCAGCAACTTTGTTGGATTAACTGTTTCTTTAATTGAGTAAATTATCTTTTCACGTGTTGTTTCCGGCTAAAATACTAGTCCATAATCCATAATAACACTTCCTCCAGTGGAAAAAGTCTGTCCCCTGCTGTCCTCTCACATCCAAATCCACTGACATATTTGTTTAGAACTGTTTTCATTAGTAAACGGTGCTTGATCTGTTCATATTTCTCTCCTGATTCAGACGAGACGACTTTTTCACTGGAGAAAGCAATATTATGGATAGAAGACTATGGATAGTTTAATTACTAACATATTTGTAGTGTATGGCTTTAGATGTGAACACACAAGGACTACTTTTTGATGCTTATTTTGCACCTTGACAGCCCCTGGTCACTATTTGGTTTTGTGGAACGGAAAAAAGCAGGATAAACATTCTTCAAAACATCTTTTGTGTTCTACATAATGAAAAAAAGTCCAAATGGATTTGGAATGACTGCTGAATAAATGACGACAGAATTGTCATAGACGGGCCTGTAACAGAATAATTTCCATTGTTAGAAGAGATGGAATGTTGTAGCAAAATCATCTCTAACTCCAACATTTAAGAGTTAAATCACAAGAAGGAAACGCCCGTAAGGGTTAACCAATAAAAGAAAACTTGTAACAATTCTAAGGGTTGTGTGATGCCTCGAATCAAGCGCCACAGCAGCATCCCTCAGTCTGACACCATGACAACCGCAGCGCGCGAACGCTGGAATCTTTGCAGCTGCCGCGAAGCCCAATATGAAGACAAGATGCCGCCATACGAGCGCGAGACACACTTGTTCCTTTGAAATATTCCTCGCTCCGCACTCTTGGAAAAAGACGTCGAAGATTCGCAAAACCACCTGTATCTAGCGTCCGTTGGCAATGTGAGATAAACGGGCTTTCTGCTAGCTAAACCTTAATATTTATGTGGCGTAAGAACTGCGCTGGGTCGAATACACTGAAGCCGCGCGCATAGGAGCTACGAAATGCGCATTGGAGTCAGGAATGCTCCTCATGGCGTTTACGCGTGGAGAGCCCACTGGGGCGTGTGTGCTGTGCATGTTAATGCATGTGTGAGATAGTGAGAAAGGAAAATAGAGGAAAGACAAGAGGCTTGTATTTGCCGCACGCGTTCCACTGGCTCGACATGGGGACTATGAGGATCTCGTGAGGACGCCAATGATAAATAGTATTCCAGAATCCTCAGCCACATAAGAAGACCACGGAACACCCTCCTCAGAGACCCCTTGTTTGATAACGAGGGGCGATTAAATATCCACATAGTAAGGCGCATCAGGTAAGCGACGCCATTCGGGGATTCGTTACATTCGCATTGAAGTTCTAACCCGTCTTTTGTCGAGCATCATTTGATGCGTCGCAAAAGTCAAAGCGCTCAAGCGCCTTCGTACCTACATCTGCAGGTGTCAGTGCGTGCGTTTGGTCAACAAGAATGGACAAATCACACATCTAGCCATGAAACCTGGTCTGTAAAGTAAATGAAGCGTTTATGCAGATTTTAATGAATTGGGGAAGCTTCATGAGATTTGACAGCAAATATTGAGACCAATGATTCAGAGGATAAGAGTTACTACAACATTGATGTTCTGTTTTCTTAAAAGCTCTTCTAAGAACTTAAATATTTTGTTGTAATTGTGTATTGGGGTTTCATCATCTTAAATGATGCCGGTTACTGCATGGATGCTTAATGCTGCAGTGTTGGTTTGAGTTCAACTTAGAGATCACACCATATTGGTTTTTGATGACTATACCAATACAGATTATTTTTGATGTTTAAAGTGTCCAATAACCAATATGCAGAACAGATTTTTAATTATTATATTTTTGCTTTTTTTCTACAATAATTAATAATCTTAATACAACTACAAAATAATATTCATTCCGAATAATGTTATATTACTATGATGATTTATTCAAAGTTGTTTGCAATCTAGATGGTGGCAGATTTATTTTGATATTTGTTTAGGGCTGTCTGAATCTGAAACAATACACTTCTCACTTGAAAATGAATGGCTGTTATATAAAAGAGTCAAAAGTAATTATCCAAACTGTGTATTAAATAAGTTGCTGTACTTGTAAATATTGCTTTAGGCTGCTTCTTCATAGTGATCAATCAAATGGCATCATTTACTGATAGAGATCTAATAAGTTAGTAAATAAGACTCTAATAAGAGTGAATATCAGGAAAAATATTGGTCAAACTAATCATCAGTCTGTCTTATTATCGTATTGTCATTTATTCAAAATGCCAAATTATAATGGTCATGTAATTTTTTTTAATTTTTTTTTTACATGCATTAATGCATGTAAGACTTGCTAAGCAGGCACTGCTGGCTACAGGATAATTATTGATACCCGCTGCTCTCTGAGGACTGGAGATTGTGATCAAAGATTTATACAGTCGTTCCAGGCGCTGTTACTGTACGTGTGGAAACAGGTTGGGAAGTAGAGAGGGATTGTCCCAATAGATTGCTCAGCACCTCAAGGGAGCTGAGGGAAAAAAAGAAATTGGTGTGAACAACACTAAGTCTGAACAGTATAATGAAGTGTTTTTAATGCAGATTCTTAATGATTTGGGGAAGCTTAGTAATATTTCAAGGTCAATTGTCATCAACGATGCAAATGATAGTTGTTGCAACATTTATGTTCTGGTTAGTTAACTGGATCTAGACTTTATTATCATTAGTCATGATGGTCATTAGACTAATGGCGTGCATCTTGTGTCTTTGGGTTTCATCATCTTAAACAAGTCCTAATGCTGCAGTGTAGGTTTGAGTTCAACTTTTTAGACTAATGGTGTTGTAGACAACTATCATACTTTTTGGCATGAATTAAAGGAATAGTTCACCCAAAAATGAACATTTGCAGAACATTTACTTATCCTCAGGCCATCCAAAATGTACTGTAGATGAGTTTGTTTCTTCACCAGAACAGATTTGGAGAAATTTAGCATCACTTGCTCACCAATGGATCCTCTGGAGTGAATGGGTGCCATAAAAACATCACAATAATCCACAAGTAATCCACATGACTACAATCCATCAATTAACATATTGTGAAGCGAAAAGTTGTGTGTTTGTAAGACACAAATCAATCATTGAGGCATTTTAACGTTAAACTGTCACTTCTGTCCAAAATACGGGTCCATAATCCATAATAACTCTTCTCCAGTGATAAAGTCCATCCCCTGTTGTCCTCTCACATCAAACTCAACAGATATATTTGTTTAGAACTGTTTTGGACTGTTTTCACTTGTAAACAGGGCTTGATCTGTGCATATTTCTCTCCTGATTCAGACAAGATCACTTTTTCACTGGAGAAAGCAACATTACCGACAGAGGAAGATTAATCAAGTTAATCTTGATTGATTTGTTTATTAAAAACACGCAGCTTCTGGATTACTTGCATTACTTGTGGATTATTGTGATGTTTTTATTAGCTGTATGGCCTCTCATCCTGCCAGCACCCATTCAAACTCATCTACAACTTGGATGACCTGCGGGTGAGTCAATTTTATGCAAATTTTAATTTTTGGGTGAACTATTCCTTTAATGCATTTACACAAACTGTTCCAGTATAAATCCGTTTATACAGATAATATTAGGGATGTAACGATTAACTGCGAGCCGGTTGAAAATCGAGGAAACCAGGAAACGGTTTAAGCGCCACCTGCTGGCAGAAAGTGAATCTGCATCTCATTCAGCTTTGCTGCTTCATGCAGATATTTTTATTTATAGTTTCACAAAACTGAAGTCAAACCATTCTGTTTTTGCTTCAAATTTCGAAACTATACAATCTAATTTAGTTTAAAAACTGCTCATGTTGCATGTATGCAGCATCTTTGTTTGGATCATGATTAAAATGCAGTGGTTGCCTCTAATTTTAAAAGGAAAGAGCACCGACAAAGCCTTATTTTGTTTATATGAAGATATTTATTTTATTTGTGTTACTTATTTATTTGATTTGGGGCTTGTTTTAAAATTTCAATTTAGTTTTGTTATTTACATTTACATTATATTTAAATTTTGTAATTTAGCAGACGCTTTTATCCAATGCGATTTACAAATGAGGACAATAGAAGCAATCAAAACCAACAAAAGAGCAGTAATATGCAAGTGCTATATTCGTATATTATTATAGTATTATATTTCAATTTCACAAAGAAATGTGCAGCATTTTGTCCAAGCAATAATAAAAGGACACATTTAATTTATAATTTGTCTTAAATCTAATTTTGTTAAAAAAAAATTATAATAATCGTGAATCGAATCGAATCGTGAAATCAAAATTGCGAATCGAATCGAATCGTGAGTTGAGTGAATCGTTACATCCCTAGATAATATAAATGCGGAAATAAAGTTATTACATTAATGTTTTAAAAATGAAATAATTCATATAGAATAATAAAAATTATTAACAGAAAAAAGTAAGTAAACACAAAGATTATAAATTATGAAATCTAAACAATTTAAGGCTTCTCTGATGTTGCATTTCACTTAACCAAAAAAGGAGCACCAGAGCTGGATTGGATACTATGAGTCAGTGCCGTGGCATATTTTAGTACCATTTTATGCTGCAGATACAGTGTACAGTGTACAGAAACCTTAAGACTTAACGCTACACGATGATAAATTATATCTGTTCATCTCTGAGGGCTGAGGAGTGTGACCCCAGTTTATACACTCGTTCCAGGTGCTGTTTTGAGTGCAAACAAAAGGGAGGCAGCAGACAAGGTTTGTCTCAAATGAACTGTCCATGCTCATTGCTTCAAGGGAGCTCAGGAGGAGAAAATAAATTGGTGTGAGCAACACTATTAGGAGGTGTCCAAAAAAAAAAAATATTTACTGTATTATGTTTAGTTTGTTGGTCTATAAGAGATGCATTGAGTTTGTAAGCCAGGGTTTATTTGGACTAATGTCTCTGGGGATCAATTTAACCTTGTCCCCAGTTTTTCATCTCCAGGGTTGTAATGAAATTGCACAGGACCCATCAGGGTCCAACCTTTCAAGCCCTTGATTATAAGTGACTGACCTAGCCTCTCAAATAAGATTACACCGCTTAATGGTGCATTACATAAGACAAACAGATTTGGGACTTAGGCAAATACAGGTGTGTATTCACTGGCCCACACACAGATCTCCAAAAAAAGTGGATTGTCATGCTTTTCTCAGAATAATCATAAATTTCTTATTGTACAGTGCAGCTACAGTAGTGTACGTGATTTTAAGGACAGTAAAGAGTCCTTGAAGGAAAAGTCCTTATCCTGGATTTATCTTGCTTATTTTGTCACCTTGGCATCATTCAGGACAAGAAGATGATGGAATAGACTTATTGGTTACAAGTGAAGCACAGATTCTTCAAAATGTAAAGAGATTAAGACAGTTAAAAACTGTGAGAAAAAGAAGGAAAGAGATAAATACGGACAAAGGGAGATGGTCAGATTACTTTGTGAGAAGATAATAAATCTAATAGAATTGCAGGGTGTCTGGTGGCTTATGCTGTCTCGCTTTGTGGTGACTGAGTGTTTGAGACCAGCAGAAGTCACCTCCACTGAGGCCCAGACTCATACAAGCTGCTTATGCGGTTTACATCAAATCAGAGCCCATTACTGAAACTGCCAGTACTCTTTAGCAAGAATAATGTGCCATTATTGGAATGATTATTGGCTGAATGTACCTACTGTTTGGTCATTATAAAAATGCTTTGGATGCATTGATGGATGTGATTATTGTCACATTTATATCTAAAGTTGATTAATGATTGGTCCATGTGATTTCAAAATGGGTCCTTTTAAATGCCTCATGCTATCTTGCCTGCTTGGGAAAACATACATTGGTACTTTATTTACATTTATATAATGGCAATGTATGTATGTATGTATTTATTCATTTATTTACTCTTTGTTAATGCTCAAAAATTACTGACCTGTCCTATCTTAAGTGTTTCCATGCGCCATACTATGAGGACAAGATTTTATAAGTAGAAGCCCTCTGTGCTTAGATTGCATATGTAATTTTTTTTATCAAATTTTACTTAAATTATCCAAAAATGTCTAGGTTCTGATTTGTCTTTTTTCAGTTTTTAATTACAGTACTGCATAATTTAAAAGTTCTCTTAAACACAAATGCCAGGCACAAAGTCACACTTCACACTTCCAACTAGTGTTCATTTTGTCAGCTATTTTCATTTTAGTCTTAGTCCTGGGCTAAAATGTCCTTGTTAGTTTTTAGTTTTAGTTATCATATTTAGACAAACTTGTACTGTTTTTGTTTATTCAGT